ATTAGAGAAAATTATAATTATCATTATGGTCAGAATTTCTTTTGATATTTTCCAGATTATCATCAACCATTTATTTAGTTTTTTAGAAATCACTGAAAGTAGTATCAAAGATTTCAATCAAAGAAAATCCAACTTTAGTAAAATAGTTTATTACAGTGACATATTATTCTTCTATATACATCTATATGCACACACACAAAGTCTGAGGTATTAAACAATGCACTTGCACACATCTTTGAGCTGTGCCCCTATCCCCCATACTGAGAGGGTCACAAACCAACACAGACCCTTTATCATGATCAGATATCATTATTATTTTTGTCCATAATTCCTTCCATTTGCTTCCTTTTATATTTCAACTGACAATTACATGATCATTGTTTCTTTTAAAAGAACCAAAGATGCAGTCTCCAAAATGTCTTTCTGAAAAAATGAGAAATCCTCAGGCACTTTTGACTTTAGACATACACACAGCACAGCTGCCCACGTGAGGAGCAATGATGCTCCGATATGTGCATGAGACAGACACGCAATATGGTAGAGAAGATAGAGGATGTGTTAGAGATAATGACACTCCAGGTATTGGGGGTCACGAAGCTCACCCATCTAATCCCACCCAGTAAGATGAAGTTCTGATAACCATGTGAGGGAGATGAATCCTATATCAGCTGCCTAGCCCTCGGTAAGTAGTCAAATGTGTAACAATTCCCATATATCTGGTTGAAAACTAAGGTGATTATTCACTGGTAACTATATTTCATCTTGTTCTGCCTTATCACAAATACTGTGGCAAGTATTTAGTGTCATAAATAACCACAGAATCTCATTACAAATGATGGTGGAAACTTTACAAAGTCCAGTACACAACAATGACTTTGTTTAAGCCACATCTAGTTTTGGTGCAAAGAGCTTCACACCAAATATAAGAAAAGTGTTGCACAATGAAAATGTAAGTGATCTTTAAATTATATATATATATATATATATATATACATATATATATATTTCTTAATTAGAGACAGAAAAAGGAAAGTAATCAGGTAACTATGGACCTCATTACTTGAATTTCCTTCTCTTCATGACCACAGATATCCTAAATTTAATATTTTAAAGTAGCCACAGACATCTGTACTATTACTGACCTGCTTTTCAATTTATTTCCTTCTACTTTAAAGGAACTATATATTGCTACACAAATAATAAATAGCATTTGTCATAAGTAAATAATAATTGTGAAAATATGGAACTATTAACAAATTTTACAAGATGAATGAATAAGAAAGGAGATAGCAGAGCAGTCAGCATCAGTAACGTGGACAGATGATATTTAATCCCCCCAAAGTTGCATTAATTAGAGTCACTGGGTGTGAGTGAAGAAGGGAGGAAGGGCTGGGGGTCACAGGAAGAATGATCAGTCAAAAACCTGTTCAAGAAACTAATTCATAGAGTGCTATAAAAATGAAGCAACTTCTTCACTCAACTAAGAACTCTTGGAAATTAAAAAGATAATAGCAAGGAAAAAAAACTCTCACAAGTGTCACAGAAAATGTTTAGGACTTTCCAAAAAAAAGAATGAAATTACAAAGGGTAGAAAATAAAAGAATAATCTAAAGGAAGTAGAGAAATGGTCTAGAAAGTCCATATCTAACAACAGGATTCCAAGGAAGAGAGAATTGGACAAATAGGAGGAGGTAATGGTCAGTGAAATAATTTAAGAAAAGTACATGTGTGAGCAGATTAATAGAATGCACTAAATGTCAGAGAAAAGGGGAAGAGCCACACTTTACAATTCATGGGACTGAGAGTACTAGCGACAAAGAGCAGGTCCTACTGTCCTTCTGAGAGACAGACACCAGCAAGGACTTAGGAATCAGAATGAACTTCGGGTTGCTCACAACACTAAAAGCTGGGAAACACTTACATTTAAATTCTGACAATGAGTGATTGTCAATGTAGAACTCTATTCTTCTTCAAACTATTAATCAAGCGTGAGAGGGGCTGGGGATATAGCTCAGCGGCACAAGCACCTGCCTGGCAAGCGCAAGATCCTGAGTTCAATTCCCAGTACACACACAAAAAAGTGTGAGGATAAAATAAAGATATGTTGGGCATAAGAGTTAGGAGAACCAGTTCAGGAGAGGGGAAAGAAGATTTCTAGGAGGTGGGATAGAAGCTCCTAAAGGACACCTGTGACCATTGTCTACTGCAGGCCTGAAGTCACTATAGAGACTGTCAGGGAGATGACACTGACAGCAGACACAAAACATCTGGCTGTGTTGGAAAATGATTCAATTAACTGACCATGAGTTTTGTGTTAATGATTAGTGCAAAGAAACTAAGAAATAAAGAAGAGGAAGCAGAAGAGGACAACTGACAATTATTAACTCCCAGAAGGACAAGTAATGCATTTACTCCAAGGTTCAACTCTGAAATTTACCCGGATAGAATGTAATAATTCAATAATGGATTGTTATGTGGTCAAATTATAATGTAATGTAATGTAGAGAGAGACGTTGGAATGGTGGGAAGGGTGTGTGTGTGTGTGTGTGTGTGTGTGTGCATGTGTGTGCTGGAGATTGATAAACACAGAGAGAAATTCTTGTCTCCCACAAGGGAAAATCAATAGACAATATCTAAAAAGAAAAAAGTCAAGCATGGTTTTAAGTATGAAATAAATGCCAAAATAATGAACTAAAAGACATGAAAATAATGTGTTCTGGTGAGGAGTATTTGGGGCAGCTAGAAGACAATACTGTCATTTTTCATAACAAATATTGAGATGATTAGTCACGCAAATTAAAACAACAGAAGACCACTTTTGGCCTGCTATGTTGCAACAGCATGAAGATGCAAATATTAACTGCATCCAGGGTTGGCAGGTAGTAGATAGACAGCTCTATGTGACTAATGATAATATAAGTTAGCTCAGCTTTCCTGAAAATTTCGGAAAAAGTCATCAAAAGCCCTTTGATTTAGCCATCTTTCCAAAAAATATAATCAGATTATTGTAAAAAAATTATGTACACAAATGGACACACAGCACCGATGTTTGCAAGGCTGACACAATTTGGCTGTCAGGAAAGGTTTGGTAAACTGAATGAAGGCACATATCAGAGAGGACATTGTGCCATTACAGAACAATGTGGGTTTATATTTACTGATACAGAAAGATGTCCATGGTGAACTGACAGATGAGGTAGCAAATAGACACCTAGGAAGTGTGTGTGTGTGTGTGTGTGGGTGTGTACAGCTGTGACACAAGAGACATTGCAATGTGACAGTATGAACGTCTGTCTGGGACGTGACTACTGGTCACCCTCCTGTCTTCACTTATATATTTTTTATTTTGTAGTATTTCTTTGATAATATTAAAAATACAAGGAGGAGAGAAAATAACCTAAATCATTCTGACATTAATGGGGACCTGGAAACTCAAGGGTGTCAGACAGGGCACATATATAGAAAAGAATGCAAATCGGAAGACAAAAAATGCTGTATTTCTGGGGGTTTTTAGATTGAGAATAGGCATTTTTTCTCCTTTAGAACTTGGGCCCTGGATGAAGGCTTTTTGGGGGACCCTTCAGTGGGGGATTCTAGAATTCTTGTCACTTCCATGCTACTGTCTTTCGTGTTTGCATAAGATTATAATTCAAAGTAAACATTTTAGATATTACAAATATTATTGACTCGATCTTTTTCAAAATGGACTGTGGGGAAAAGTGAACAATTTTCACTTGCTGTAAGCAAGGATGTTGGATGTCATTTAGATCCCGCCTCTCTGAACCGCACTCCCGGCTCTGTCCCTCGGGACCACACAGTGCTGGACCTGCCTTCCGCCCTCAGGAGCAGCAGTGTCCGTGGTGACCAGGGAGGAAAAGTTCTCCTTGTCCTCTGCTTTGATTCAGCCATCTGCATGCTGTGATCGCCCTCCCTCTCTCAGCTCTTGGTGTGCAGCCAGAACAGGCAAGGTGGGCAGACCCATCCCTGGCTGCACAGGCCAGGACACATGGAAAGCTGGTTTCCACACAATGCACAGTGCATCTCTGTAGCTGCAGTAGAAATCTGTGCATCTGACACACCAAAAAGAGCCTGTCCCTTTCCTGCTTGGCATCTCTGTCTCCCTCCTCGCTACTTCATCTTTTGGCTATAAAGACCTTAGCTCAGGGAAAGGAACCTAAGCAGAGTTTGTGGACATGAGTTTCTTCTCTAACACCCAGCTCTGTGAAGCTCCGACCCTCTGCACGATGCCAGAGATGCTGGCTCTATAGTGAGGCCCGACCCATCTACTCTCACTGAGGGAAACCAGGGGGCTCGGACCTATGAAGCCACCAGCAGAGAAATTCACACTGCAAATTCAGGCACCTCAGATCAGAAATCAGAACTATAAAACAGATCTAGCCACATCTGATTGTCCCATTGGATATTATTTTTTCTTTCTGAAAAAAATAAAAATAAGACTTATACAGTGAGCACCCACTGACTTCTCAAAGAAAAGCTTCTCAGCTTGGCTGAGGTACAGCACCTTGGGCTCCGGGGGTGAGGCCTGATTCCTCCCTTTCAGTTTGTAACTCTGTCCCTTCTCAGGGTTGCTCTGCAGTTAAGTATGTATGCTAGCTATTTATGACTTACATTTGTAAATTTTATATTCCTTGATGTAAATTCTCAGGACTTTAAAATACACACACACACATATACACATACACATACATAGACACATATACACGTACACATATACACACACATACACACACAGATAAAAACTCAGGACCTTGAGAGTTGATCATATTGAGCCAAACATGTGTTTTTAAAAGTTTTAGTAAATTTGAATTTAAATTTAAGTCAGTATCATTCTTTCAGTGTTAAACAGGCTGGACATGTGTTGCTTCTAGAAAACTACATCCTCCCAAGTATGTATATATATGCTTTTATGAAATAACTTCTTACTAACCATCTATTTCACCTTAATATGTCATTTCTATGCCATATGTATCTTGAATTTTTTCTCCATAAATCATACAAGAGTCCAAAATAGATCAAATCTGGTATTTTGCTACAATGCATAAGGAAGCTTTTCTTTTTTATTAATAGTCTTTTAACATTCAAAAATGATGGCACTAGTCTGAGCTTCTTTTAAAGACTGAGGTTGGCTTTAGGAAGACTTGTTCTAGATGCACAAAGATTCCTAAAGATACCTATAATTACCAGCTCTTGGGAGTCACTTAAATTATACATTAAGATACTTCCAAAATGTGTAGTAAGGTATATGTGATAATTTAATACAAGAGAGCATTTCAAACAAATTGATAATAAGGTAATATGAAATCAGATGTGTCCAAAATGGGCTAAGGACTTCTGCAAGCTTGACTTGTTTATTGAAAGAAATATATTTGATTACAAAAAACTAAAAATTCTGAATTGGACAGCTATGTTCAACAGCTTTCCCTCCAGGATTTTTATGTTTGATTTTCATTATTTTTGAAAAAGTATTTAGCATAACCATTGCTTGTGATAACCCTGACTTGGTCAATATACAACTAGCACATGTATAAAAGCATCAAATTGTTTCCCACAAATATATACAAAAGGTCAATTAAAAGAAGTACTTACTCTTGCACGTATATTTTCCTATAAGAGAGAAAAAAGTAAATTCATGTAAATCCACATATTTGAGGTAACATACAAACAGTATAAGGCTTTCAAATTTAATCATGCAAAATAAAGTAATAAGTAATTCTCATGAAGGTCCCATAGAATTAACCTCACTGTTTCATAATCATGTCTCCAATGTCTTATTTTAGTATAATTATCATTTTTGGTTTGCACTTTATACAAAATTTACAACTGTTTACTCAGAATATAGTCAATAAATTCTCATAATTTGAAAATGAATTTAAATTTACATTTTTATTTATATTATGAAAAAAAAATCTATTAGACAAAGTCATGAGAGAAAGCAAGGTACAAGAGCCTGGTATGGTGGTACACATCTATAATCCCAAGAATCTGGGATGCTGAGGCAGGAGGCTCACAAGTTTGAGCCCAACCTGGGAAGTTTATTGACTTAGTGTGACCTTGTCTCAAAATAAAAAATAAAGTGGTGGGAATGGAGCTCAGTGCAGAAGCCTTGGGGTCAGTCTTCAGTGTGTACTAATAAAAAGTTACAAGATTACAAAGCAAATGTTTGATTTGCAGAACACTATTATGAAATTCTCTCTAACATCTCTCTAGCAGATTGTGAGCGATTTCCCTGTTGAATGAGTAATTGTCAAAAAACCATCACAAGGTGTTACTAACTTTTGCAGCTCCCATTCTGCTTATCCATCTGTCCATTTCCTAATGGTCACCTCTTTGCCTAGTCTCTGGCTACCACGCTGCACCTTGCTCCCTTCCCTCCCATTGGCTGCTCTTCCTCGAGCCTGCCTTGCTCTCCCTCCAGGTACCCACCTCCCTCCATGATTCCTGTCCTTTCCCAGTGAAACCTTCCTGACCAACCTTTGGAGGGTTCACCCTACCTCACACCATATTCTGATCCCATTCCCTGCTTTATTTCTCTCCTTACATAACACTTGTTACTTTTCCACATACCATGTGTCTTTCTTATTTCTTTTCTTTTTTTGTTACCAGGAATTGAACTCAGGACCTTATGCTTGCCGGGCAGGTGCTGTGCTGCTGAGCTATATCCCTGGCCTCTTATTTCTTTTACACTGGATTCATGCACTGCTGTGACCGCAATACCTAAAAAGCGACACTTGATGGGAGCTAAAAACATTGTCAAATTAATTACTCAACAATAAAGACATCCAATTTATTCAGGTTAAATTTAAGGAATAAAGGAAATGGAAGTTTTTCTCTAAAAGCCTCACACAGATATCAAGAAATAATAATCTGCATATGAAACATGATTAGTGCAGCCTCTTATTTTCAATTTTCTGGAATACAATGAATGTTTTCAATATGAAAAAATTTTATGCCTGCAACCCATAATGGTAGATGGTTCTTTTTATATTCGGTGATTGAGAAAATAATTAATGATAAATACCTATGCTCAGCTTCATAAATTTTAAAATGGATTTAATAAGCTTATAAAAATAATCTCAGTACTCCATATAAATGAAAACAAATGTACATATGTGTGAAACTATTGTTTCCTAGATCTTAGGCATTTTATATGAATGGACTTCTAGGCATCTTTCACTAACTGGGTTCTCCTGCCTCCAACACCTCCTAGAGGTGGCGTTCAAGCACAGAATGGTTTCTTTAAAACCAGCAGCTGTCATAATTTTAGGGAATTATTAACAGAGGAAAGAATTTTCTGCTATAATGAAAGAACTTTTCCTACCATCACTCCTGGCCAACATTTCCTTCCATTCATTTCCTTTGAGCTCAACACTCTTTCCCTAACTTTTATTGCCTTCTAAGGGGGGATTTTATTTGCCCAGAGTGCTTTGAATCACGGATCAGAAAATTTAGAGAAGATGAATCTTTAAAAAATACAATTTTCCATGGAAACCAGCAAGTAAACAATTTGAACAGTTAGAAATCAAAATGCATACTTTGATGTTCAAATTTCTCTTTTAACTCCTGGAAAGGACATGGAATTTTTCTCTTTATTTTATTTATTTCAACCATGTAGCCTAAATACTGTAACACCAATTAAACACTGTGTTCAGTGTGGTATAATATTTTATAAAAGGGACCTAAGAAGTTTTTAACAGGGGAACCCACAGCTTATAGGGCAAGTGTACTGTATTAAAACATTCCTTTCTTTATTTGTTCATCATTTTAAAAAAAAATCTCTTTTAAATGAAAACTTTCCAAAAGCTAGTCCCAGCCAAGGAAAATTCAGCAAAGAGGAAGTTAAAATGTGCCTATTTACCCTTTTATGGGATAAAGTGATTTAATACTCCTATCACGGCACCTTCTCCCCGCATGCACTCATTATAATTTCCCTCACGGTTGAAAGTTTTTATGTGACTATTCCTGAAGGGTTGCATAGTCTTTGTTCAAACATGGTGCCATAGAACAAGGAACTGAGAGAATTTTGAAAGTGATTTTAATTTTTACTTGGAACTCCCCATTTAGAAAAATAAGCATACAATGGGGTGAATGAATTGAAATGTATTCCTTTAGATTCTGCATTGCAGGAGCTTCTAGATTTTCTGGATGGAAAAACTACAGGAAAAAAGTGTCCGGGTGATTAGAAGTTAAGGCGTTCCTCCCAAGGGTTGATGTGCCCTTGGTTGGCAAGATAAATATGGATGAATTTATATAATAATGCAGCACAAAACCCATCTGTCCAAAACTTAGAGAGCTTCTTTCATTCTTTTTCTATTACAATATAAACAGACCTGTGGGGCCTCTGAAATGTAGCAGGGACTTCAGTGCTATTTATAACTAGCAAAACAGAAAAAGGAGGCAGCAGACAGGCTGTTCTAATTATAGCTCTGCTTGCATTAATAGCCATTATGTTTTCACTTTCTTCTTACAGCCAGAAGCCTTAAATAACCCCCAAAGAACCTAAGCAACCAGATCTTTAGCAAACAACTGCTAAATTTCTAGAGCCTATTAATAGAATATTGCACATAAGCTTAGGGAGCATTAATGCCAGGCTGCAACCACTGGTGGTTAAATAAACAAAAACTTGCAAGTTTCTTATTTGCAGACTATAGTCGTAGATGTGCATAGTACTTCCGGATGGGTTTACAGTCTTCCCTCTGTGAAATTTCTGCATAGATTAAATTGATGAAAAAAGCCCATCTCCTTCCAGGTCATGGCCTGTGGGCATTGTGGGCCAATTTCTTTCTCTAAAGTAGTTCTCCAATGTGTATTGGAACCCCATGTGGGTGAGTAGAAGGGCAGATCCCAGACTGGACCGCAGGTGATCCTATTCTTGGGGGTTGGCAGGGAGTTTGGGTGATGATGCAAGGAGTTCATTGTTATTGCACATCCCAATGGACTGGAGCAAGGGACATATGCAACCCAGAAACACTGCCCTCACATTTCCGAAAGATTCAAAATTACCTTCTGGAGACAAATACTACTTTCTCATTTGAATGATAATGGGCTTCAGAGAATAACCAAAGGTTATGAGCTTGAATCTGTTACAGAACCAATATCTTTGCTACCTTTTTGGAAATTAGTCTTGAACCTCAGGCCCTGGCGCCCTGCTTAAATGAACTCTTGCCTTGTTATTAAACATTTCTGATGGGTTTATTTATCTCCCCGACTAGAGTTTGTGTTCCTGGGAGGCAAGTACTATATTTATATATTAAAAGTATGTGTATATATTTTCAACATTATCTTGCAGTCTTAATAAATATTTATTAGGCTCCTATAAGCATATTTTAGTTTTGGTTAAGATGCAACCTACATGCTTTAAAATCCACTTTAGCTTCTGGGGCATGAAGCCACCTCTCTCGTGGATATTGCTTCAAACCACGTTTCCTTCCTCACAGAAGGAAAGCGAGGCTGCGCCTAATACTCATCAGAATGGCAACCATGCTTGGGCTCCGTGTTTTAGCCACAAGGAAAAGGCAGAACGACAGTAATAGCTTTGACTGATTGCTTGGCAAGGGAAACCAAGCCCTCTGGTGTTGGCAGACTTTCTCTGGCCTATAAACCTGTTTGAAAACCTGTTTCTCAGAATTTAAGGCTCAGTTCAATTGAGGTCAGTATTATAGTAATGTCAATAATGCCACAGCTCTCAGCCCTGAGGCAAAGCAGCACAATTCATCATTAACTTTATTTCCATGGGAAGGCAACTTTTGGGAAAATAGCTCGAACTTAAACTATTTTATTTTGATTTTCTTTCCCCTAAGAAATAGTTCTGCCAATACTGCTTCCTCTGGATTTTGTGGTTCTGAGTGTTAACACCTTCCAGTGGCTACATTTATCTCCAAAAATCAGAACAGCTCTGAATATACAAAATTTGGGGCATCATAGGACAGTAACTCAAAGCTTTCAGAAAAAGGTCAAATAAGTCATTGGACCTGAAAGTAATTTTCAATAATTGATACCAGATGAGATTTCAAAGTTACCTCTACCCTTTAGGGCATACGAGACTGAGCTAGACATCCAGGGATGTTCAAGCCGGGTCTATGTGTTTCCCTCAGGAATTAAAATTTAAGGAATAACAAAGGGCCATCCTCCTGTGGAGGCAATTCCACTTCTGGTGAGCACATGTCCTGCATAGCTGAACCTTATCTGCCCAGCTGAGGACCCTCCATGCTTGAGTTGGATTTGGGCTGCTGGCCTGAGAAGCTAGATTTTCATTTGCTCTATCTATTTCTTCTGCTTCTAGAAATAGAAGAAAGAAAATGATTCAAGATAGTTGTTACTGGATTGGATGTTGCTTCTTTAAGGTAGGAAAGGTGTTCATCCCTATCTAGGATTTCACTATATTTTTTCCCAAAGAGAAAAGTAGCTGTACATTTGGAGGACTTTGATCCTTGCATATGAGCTTATTACGATTAATACAACTTCAGACTTTACTGTTGCTGTGGGTTGTTATGGTAGCACCAAACTGAACGGAACATAGAAGTATTTAACTGGAGCTGATTATGACGTATTATATTTAAGAATTGACATAACTGATGATCACACTGGGCTCCTTGTGGGTTGAGTACAAAGTCCAACTTATTTTTGTTTTCTTAGCATCCAGACCTATGCTTGCCACAGCACAAACGCTAAACACAGTATAGTGCCTTGAATATATTGCTCTCCATGATAGGAAAAGCATGGTCAGAAAGTTGCTATTTCTTCATGGCCAGTAGAGGGCAACCGAGTTGAAAGTTCATTCATTCGTTCACTGAAATTCACATGTCCACAATGAGCTCTGCTTCAGATCTAACTCCAGTCTGGAAAGGCTTCCTCCAGAGAAGTCTCTCTTTCTCTCCCGGTTTCACCTTAACGCCTCTCCACACTTCTGGCACCTCATTCCGTCCCTTTTCCCTCTGCCTTGCCCTCATACTACAGTGTACAAGGGAAATGTTTGGAATAGACTGGTGTGCACTGATTTACACACCACAGCTTTCTGTGTCGCTTGTCCCTGGCCTAACTGTGGTCACTGACAGCGAAAGGTTATAGAGAACCCAGGGTAAGATGCCGAGTCAGAGAGTAACGTTAACTTTCAGAGTCGGGAGGCCGTACACACGAAGAGCTAGCCAAGTCCGCTCAAAGCTTCCCTCTGCCCAGCCAACTGTCTGTGTATTAAAAAGCATCAAATGGAAATGAAAACTCTGATCGAGCATGGTTTAAAAAATCGTACTTCTTCTTTCTTCTATCTTTTGGATTTGTGTGTTGTGCAGCCCCCTCCAGCATTTCGGGCTGAGGATGGAGGGCACGGCCAACTGTGCTGATACTGACTGCCAGTGTGCCCTCGTGCCCCACAAGGTACCTGGGGGAAAGGGCGGCCACTTGAGGTCCACAAGACACCCATGAACCCCATTAGCACAGCGCCCCTGTGTATCCCTGGAGCCGTGTGGGGTTGCCAAGTTACGGTAGCTTTAAGAAAGGGTTTTCCTTTTAGACTTCATTACTATTTTGATACTGCACTTTTCTCTCTCTACCAAGCCCTGAATTTTCTCCAGTGTTATTTTTAGTCAACCTTTCAGGGAAGAGAAAAGTGGGTGCAGGCTTCTGGCGGGGCTGCTGTCCCCACAGAGAACACAGAGCAGAGCAGAGCACCCAGCAGCCTCACCCAGCCGGGATCGAGTGAAACGTTTCCTACACAACCCCTGCCTGCCTGCCGCCAGGCACTGAGTGGACACCACCCGGACGGCCTTACTTACTTTAAGGACTGCAGGCAGGGGCCCACATGTCGCATCAGCTCCTCCTCCTCACAAGACTCCAGCACGCTCTGTGCCTCGTCGTGCTGATAGCAGTAGATCTTATAAATCTCTTCAAGCGGCCCCTTAATCTGCAAGAACACCTCTCCTGAAAGATGCAAAATGGAGCAAATGACGTCAAACCAGAGCAAACCAGCCCTTTGGATTTTTATTATTCAACAGTGTTGATTACTGCAAAAATGTTGGATGGGTCTCACTTTATCCTCAGGTAATTTAAGAAGTGTGTTAGCAATGGGAAATTTTAACTCTCTTCTTCCTTTCCTCCTCTCTTTTCTCATTTACTTCTTTCCTCCCTCCCTCCCTGTCCTTTCTCTCTTCCTCCAACTTACTTCCTCCAACTTCCTTCCTTCCTTCCTTCCTCCCTTCCTTCCTTCCTTCCTTCCTTCCTTCCTTCCTTTCTTCTTTCCTTCCTTCCACTTGCAAAACAAAGGATGAAGGCTTGAGAGAGTTAGACATTAAAGGAAAATTGCTTTTCCCAGAGGTGACTATGCACCAGGTTGGTGGGCAGGATGGTGGTTCAGACATGAGGAGGAATTTTAGGCACTAGGTGAGTGATTTTTCTTTTTTTATCTTTTTTTGAGACTGGGTCTTGCTATGCAGTTCAGGCTGATCTTGAGCTCACTTTGTAGCCCAGGCGGGTCTCAAACTCACAAGGATCCTCCTGCCTCAGCCTCCTGAGTGCTGGGATTACAGGCATATGCCACCACACCCAGCTGTGACTTTCCAATATTTATTTCATTAACATTTCCTGGGTTCTCCAGAATTTAGAGCCATGAAATATTTCCTTATATGTGATAATAAAAGGAAGAAGCCATAATCTGATTCTTTATAACAACTAATTGGGTAATACTATGAACCAAGACAATGAATGTATTTCCATGAGGCAACTTGAGCTAACTGAATCTAGGCATTTAATGAATCCTCTGATATTATGATAAAATTGGGTCTATAAAGTATATATTGGAGGACAGCTTGATTTAATCACTGTTCCATCTCTTAAAACTGAGTGGCCAATATCTACCTCCACCCATGTGTTAAACGACTGGGGAGATGCAGAAGAGACACGTGACAGCACCTGCTCTTGGAAAGACTAGAGATTTGAGAATGATGGTGATTTGGAGGCTGAATTGATTGACAGTAACGTGGGCCTGTTTGTCTGTACCTGTTATAATAACAGGAAATCCCTCTTCATACAGAAACACAAATGTCCTCGTCCTTAGGGTTGCGGACAAGTTTTGTGCACATTAACTGCTACATTCCCTGTACACAGGGTGGAACAAGAGGATATTCACCCATGGTGGTTAAGGATAAGCAAGTCTGAGTCTGACACAAATCATTTCTTCAGTGTCCTGCCGGGGGAACACAGCCTGGACTGTTGTCCTGTGAGCCTTGAGTTTTATCCCCCACACTCAGAGCATCTCTGGACCATCCATCAGGGGCTGCAGCTGCATGGACACTGAACTCGAGTCACAAATCAGGCCTCTGTGGTGACTTTGGGAATAACAGTTTAAAAATCATTTGAGCTGCTTTTCTCTACATTATTCATAAAGTGGAAATAATAGTATCTACGGTACTACTCCAATTAATTTAAGAAGTAGAAAGATGGATGCCACTGACGAGTGGTCACTGGCCTCTCAAAGCTGCTTCATGGTCCCTAGAACTAAAACACTAGTATTTTAAAAGTATCATAGTCTTTTCTAATTCATAGCCAGTCAATAAGACTTTTCTTTCCTTTCATTATATGTGATTTTCTCTGTGATTGTAATTAGATTCTGAGGTAATGTGGAGGGTGTGTGTTATTTGTGTGTGTGTATGTGTGTGTGTGTGTGTGTGTGTTCTTTTTGTGGCTATTTGTTTTAATAGTCTATAGGAAACCCAGTGACTGTGAGCATCTTTAGAGCTGAATGGGTGAAGGATTCTTGTTTTGTTTCTAGGGTTTTACTGAATGGATCCTTCCAGCTGTATTGGTCTTATAGATTTGCTTTATAAGACAGTAGCACAAACAATAAGAAATAGTTCACACAAAGAGAAAATAAAAGAGGACAGCAACTAAATGTAGGGTTGGGCATAAGGCGAAGAGAAACCCCTAGCAGCAGAACCAGGGAGTAAAAGGAGCTGGGGTGTTGGATGGGGAGAGATTGAAGGCCCAGAAGTAAGAGAGAGACAGGGTGAGCTGGAGCTCCCTGCAAGTTGAGAACAGAAGCTCGGATGAAGGTGTAAGTGTACGTGCTCACTGCTAAGAAAGTAGGATTGGAGACTGAAAAGGAGAGAAATAAGGACAGCCTCACAAATCCACAGTAGGATCAAAACAGGAAGCCAGAAAACAAAGACAAAGACTCTTGTTTCATGCACAATTAAATCATTAACTGCAAATTCCCTCGTATGTTCTTTAATAGAAGTGCTCTGGTCTGAAAGAATTTATAGCTCTCCCCTTAATGGCAAATCCATTTTTTTACTCTATTCCAAGTAAAATTCTGTTGGGGCTTTAATAATAATTATTAAAGTTAAAAGATATTTAAGTACTCTAATTGAAAGTCATTTATTCTCCCAAAGGCTGAGTGTAACACTGGTGGGCAGAACGTTTGATTCCCCTCCCAACCCTTCAATGTATTCTACTTCATAATTGTGCTGGCTAAGAGAGGTGTCTTGCAGCAGAAAGTGATTCTGTTTCCATGGTAACACAAGCCTCTGGGCTGCGATTCTTGACTGGTGAAGGACATAGCTCTGTCTAATGTATGTGGATCTGAAGGGATGATTACTAGGGAGAAGAGACTGAGCCAAGGCCAGCAAAGGTAATTTCACCTGGAAGCCAGTCATCGAGGCCCCAGAACCTTATACGATAAATAAAACTACTGTGATCTTTTAAAAAATCTACAGCCCATAAATTTGTACGTTGACTTTCCACCAAAACAAAAGCCATGTGATTTCTGCTTTTAAATTTCCTTGGTGATCTCCTTTAAAAACAACTCCCAAAGATACTGAACACATTCTGTGTCCTGAGGTGATTGTTCCTGTGTTGTAGATATTTTCCTCCTCTGATGTATTCACATTCTTCTTCTTGATCCAGCTCTTTCCTTGTAGATCCTCAAGTTTTTCCCCACGATACACTGTACAAACGGGGTGGCCTCTGGATTATTCAGATCCTGCTCCAAGATGAATTCCCCTACAGCTGAATAAGCCAGGGTAAAGCCACTGATAGTCAAGGGATCTTCTTGTCCTAGGCTTTGTTTAGGAAAATGATGAAGGGAAATGAAGTAGTTAAGTTTTGTTTGTTTGTATTTGGCAATTTACTGGATGACTATTTTGCACCAAGCACTGTGGCTCCTACCACAGATGCAAAGAACCAGCAGTTGCCCTTAGGAGCTTCTATGACCAGCAAAGGAGAGTGTGCTGTTTATCGTGGTGCCAGTCCAATAACTCTGCTGAAAGCCCAGAGGGTCCTGTTCAACCTGGGGGATTCTGGAGCAATGTTCATCACAACCTGAACTTGTAATAAGAGCCCTGAGTGAGTGCCAAAGCAGGGAACTAGACCGAAGGTAGGTGGGGTCTGAAACTGTGAGCAGTGTGGCTAGATGGCTCAGGAGGAGGCTGGCGAGGTGGGCAGAGCCTGGAGCAGCCTGTGCACTGTGAGGAGCTGGAGCCTGTGCCTAAGTGTGCTGTAGAGGCTCAATGGGTTTTAGGCAGCAAACCAACCTGACCAGACAGTCAGTCAGATGACAGTCAGTCATCTTTAGAAAGATGACTGCAGTGACAAGTCATAGGAGAGACGGCATCATGAGGGAATCAGTGAGGCTGGAGAGGAGAAGCCAATGGAATGAGGATCTTCTATAATAATAAAAGAAACTGTGAGGCTAAAACAGGAAGTTACAGCCCCAAAGAGTGCTCTTTGGGCTAGGGGCACGGCTCTGGGGCAAGGCATGTGCAAGGCCTTAGGTTTGCTCCCCAGCACTGTGAGAAGGGTGCTTCAGAGTCAACTCCTTGGTTCAGTTCAAATCCTGGTTTTACTAGTCAACATGTGACATGTGGAAAAGTTAGGTTCCTTAATTTCCTCTTCTGTGAAATGGTGTTAATGATAATAATAATAATAATAATAATAATAATAATAATAATGTTACTTGAGTGGGAAGGAGGTATGTTTTGTAATGTATTTACATCAGAGTGCATGTGTGGCTGCTCTGTAGACGTCAGCAACTAAAGCAGGGTCAGGGAGTGTGGAGAAGGGAGGAAGAAGGGGCACAGTGGACAAGGCGAGAGTGGGAGGGTGACTCGAAGGATGGCGCAGGGCTGGTCTCAAGGACCAGGTGGCCAGACACAGATGATGTGATAGGGAGACAGTTCCGGTGGAAAAGGCATGACTTTAATTCCAGGTGTAGAGTTTGGGCTGCTTATTATACTCTGTGGGAAAATTCTGTATGGAATTGGGCATATGAATTTGGGATTCAGATTTTTACACAACAGAGAAACAAATGACTCATTATGCTGGTAATGTTTGGGTTTTATTTTCTGTCTATCCCAGCTGAATATAATTATAATCAACACATTGATTTTTTTTCTCCTTCAGTAGGAAAACATTTTGGGAAAAATCCTGAGTAGCTGAAGAGTAGTTGAAGGCCTACTCTTTACTACTACAGAATTCTGTAAAAATATGACAGGAACCCTTACGTAGGAAGGGCATAAAGTGGATATTACTTGTAGGAACAACACCAAAATATAACAAATTCAACTCTCAAAACCAACTAAGATGATGTTTAAAAAGAATTTTAGTTAAAATTCAAGGTCTGAGGTATATCCCCCAAGAAAGCCCTCTGTGGCTCTAAGTAAAACTTGTCTATCAGGACAGAGAATTCGGAATCCAGAGAAGGAGTTGGGTGGCTCTGAGAAGTTGGCATGGTCCACTCTTCAAATAGAAGACTGGTGACCTGGCTGCCAAGACACAGGCCTCTGGCTGCCATTTCCCTGAGGGGCTCACTCCTGAGTGAAAGGGTGTTCCCAGGAGCTCTCCCCTGGTTCGCTGCTCCTCTGTGCACTGGGCTCAGTGGCTAGGGCTAAGCGAGCACTAACTTGGCCAGCCAAATGCCAGCTCACTTG